TATTAAAACAAAGAAAAAATTCAAATGTAGTAAGTCTATTACTGATGTTGACGTGTTGTTCATTACTGAATAAAGAATTTGTAGTTTGTAGTGTCTTAGTTTGTTCAGCTTTGTTCAACCACTTTATTCAATTTTTCTTTTAACAACATAATTTCTTTTTGGTTACTTTCAACGATTTTGACAAACTCTTTTTGTTGTTGAACGACAATTTCTTTTGTCTCATTTTTCTAATTTTCGAAGTTTCATTTTGTCTAACTTTCCACACCTAGTATTTTAGACATGCAACCACTTACATATAACGGACATTTCTCCAAAAGCGAACAATTTTTTAAATACTTTAAAATGGTTAAACATTTTACCATTTTAATTTTTTTGACGAACCACGCATGCCAAATTTTTCTGGTTTTCAAAATTTAACACTTCGAAATCATTTTTTAACAATTTTATCGAACAAATAAATAATATCTTCAAATGTGTAAAATTCGCTAGTATTAATAATAAAACCTTCATTATCAATTAAATCAAAATTATTACTTAAAAAATATAACAATTCATTAATTACAACTTTTCGTTGAGAAGCCATTCCTGTATGGCTGTAATTAATAGATATAAATGATAAATTTAAACTATAAATAAATAAATTTAAATAGAAAAGAAGGTTTTTTAAAGATTTTTAGAGAGCGTTGTTTTTTGATGATTCGTTGGGTCTTTTAAATTAGATTTTTAAAAGTTATTCGTAACAATTAAGCTAATAAATATTTGTTATCATAATTAAACGCAGTGCTATATAACTTGTACACTTTGATCCGGTCCTTAGAGGAAAACTGCTGGCCACGCTCGGCATTGTGAATTTTATGTAGGCTTTACTTACTTAACAAAAACGTTTAACGTAAGTTGAATTAATGACTTAAATATTTTTGTTCAGGTCAACCAGGAGCACAAGGTTTAGCTGGCTTACGAGGAGATCCAGGACCAGCCGGTCCACAAGGTCAACAAGGACCACAGGGTCCACAGGGTAACAGAGGTCCCACGGGTCAACCGGGTCTATCTGGACAGCCAGGTGACACTGGACCTGCAGGCGAACAGGGCACACCTGGTCAACCGGGACAATCTGGACAAGTAGGAGCTACGGGTTTACCTGGTCAACCTGGACAGCAAGGTGCGACTGGTAGCGTTGGAGATATCGGTCCCGCTGGATCACCTGGAAATCCTGGAGAATCTGGACCACAAGGACAACAAGGAGCACCTGGAACTCCAGGCCAACCTGGTAATCAAGGGTCGCAAGGACCAAAAGGATTGACAGGAGAAGTTGGGTCACCGGGTCTCCAAGGTCAACCGGGTATTCAAGGATCTACTGGTGCTCCTGGACTGCCTGGAGTTGCTGGTCCTAAAGGAGAACTCGGAGCTCAAGGAGCTGTTGGTGGAACAGGATTGCAAGGTCCTCAAGGTGCTACGGGAGATGCTGGTCAAAGAGGCAATCCAGGTTCTCCGGGTATAGCAGGGCCTCAAGGTCAACCAGGTCCTAAAGGTCCTTTGGGAGCAATGGGACCGAGCGGACCAAATGGTTCTCCAGGTATTGCTGGAGATCCAGGACAAAAAGGTGATAAAGGTTTACCAGGTGAGGCTGGAAGTCCTGGACAATCTGGCTCACAAGGAACTCCAGGGGCTCAAGGTCCTAAAGGAGATCCGGGTTCACCTGGAAGTCAAGGCCCTATTGGACAACCTGGACCCCAGGGAGCTACAGGTACTGATGGAGCAATGGGATCACCTGGTCCCAATGGAGATGTAGGATTTCAAGGAGAGCCTGGACCACAAGGACCTCAAGGTCAGCCTGGACCAGCTGGACAACCAGGTTCATTAGGAGCAACAGGAAATACAGGTCCTCAAGGCTTGCGCGGTGATCCTGGTGTTCAAGGACAGCCAGGAATACAAGGAGATGTTGGAATTCAAGGGTCTCCGGGCCCTATTGGTCAACCAGGTTCTCAGGGTCCACCAGGAGCAATGGGTGCACAAGGACCTCAAGGGGATAAAGGTGATCCAGGTCAAATTGGTGATCCTGGCAGTCAAGGTCCAACTGGAATGCTAGGTTTCCCTGGTCTGCAAGGCGCAACAGGTGTCGCAGGACCTCAAGGTCCAACCGGACCATCAGGACCTGTGGGGCAACAGGGTCAACCTGGACCTGCAGGTCAACGAGGTTCAGTTGGACAACCAGGACCTGCTGGACCCCCTGGAGAAATGGGTCAGTATTTTTGTAGCTTATAATTTTATTTTCTAGGCTCTTATTGCATTTGTATATTTTGAAAAGTATAGTTATATATAATAAATATAATTATAATCAAACATAGTTATAAAATTAATGATTTATACAAATTTTGTTCAATATAATTTCACAACAATCCTTATTTAAATATTCTCAAATTTGAAAAATGTCTTTCAATGTTTTTATTTTACTTCACGTTTTTAATTAGTAGAAGTATAAGATTAAATTGCTCACATAAAAATATGTTTTCAGGTTCTCCTGGACCCACGGGTAACCAAGGCGCTAAGGGAGTTACTGGTCCAGCTGGTCCTCAGGGAGCTACGGGGTCTCCTGGATCTGTTGGATCACAGGGAGCTACTGGAGGAACTGGAGATACTGGAAACATTGGACCTGCTGGTAACACAGGACCGCAAGGACCTCCAGGTCAACAAGGTGCTAAAGGAGATCAAGGATTATCTGGTCAACCTGGATCTGCTGGCCAACCTGGATCTATAGGGTCTCCAGGCGCTACTGGTAGTACTGGAGATAAAGGCCTTATTGGTTTACCGGGACCGACAGGACCTCCAGGACCTTCTGCTCAAAGAGGTCAACAAGGGCAACCTGGTGCTCCTGGAAACACTGGAGCTACAGGCCAACAAGGTGCTTCTGGTCAACCTGGTTCGCAAGGTTTACCAGGACCCATGGGAAATATTGGTCAGATTGGAGATCCTGGTCTCAAAGGCGCTACTGGACCTACTGGTAGCGTTGGGTTACCAGGACCTCAGGGACAGAAAGGATTAGTTGGTGATCCTGGACCAGCCGGGGATGTTGGTACTCCTGGAGAAGTAGGATTTGCCGGATCGCCAGGTTAATAAATTATTTACTACTCATTTTCAAAAATTTATTTACAATTAAATCTTTAAAATTTTATAATGTTGGTAAGATGCAAAAAAAATTAGTTTTTTTTAACATTTTTTAATTGTGAAATTTTTAGGTCAACCCGGTCAGTCAGGAGCTCCAGGTCCCAAAGGAGAAACAGGACAACCGGGTCAAGTTGGTGCACCAGGAGCACTTGGTTTTCCAGGGCCGTCCGGAGAACCCGGTATACCTGGACCTCAAGGACAACGAGGAAATCCAGGAACGAGAGGAAATGATGGCCAACAAGGTGCAACTGGTCAGATTGGATCTCCTGGTACTCAAGGAGCCACAGGCCCCATTGGACCGCAGGGACCTCAAGGTCAAAAAGGTGTTCTTGGAGCAACTGGACCATCTGGCGCCAAAGGACCCACTGGACCATCAGGTCAACCTGGGCCAATAGGCGCTGTAGGTTCTCCTGGTCCTGCTGGGCAAGCTGGCCCATCTGGTCCTCGCGGTGATATAGGATTGAGTGGACCTCAAGGTCAAAGAGGTGCCACTGGGGCTCCAGGTGATACTGGAAACATTGGCAATTCAGGTTTGTTATTGTTTGTTCTCTGGAAATGTTGTACAACAATATTTTAAGCATACAAATTATTAAAATGGCAGTAAAAATAACATGATGCTGAGTAATTACAGTAAGAGAACGTAGATTGGAAAACAGTGAGAGGTTGCGGTATTGCAAGGATAAATTTTGTTGACTAAGCACGTCAATTTTACGCATAAACAAAATATTTTTCATCGGATTTGTTCATATTTTTAATTTTTCAGGTTCTCCGGGACCTGACGGACAACCTGGTCAGAGGGGTGACACAGGATCATCAGGTGCATCAGGTGCTCCAGGTCAACAGGGAGTCAAGGGTAATCCAGGAGATCAAGGTCAACAAGGAGCGACAGGTTCACCGGGTCAACAAGGTTCTAGCGGAGACACTGGTTTTTCAGGAAATGCCGGTCAACCAGGTCAACGTGGTAATCCAGGTGCTCAAGGTGCTACAGGTCAGCCAGGTCCGAGAGGTGATACAGGATCATCTGGCTTGCCTGGGCCAATGGGAGACCCTGGACAGGTTGGAAGTCAAGGTCAGGTTGGTCCGCCTGGCATCCAGGGTCCACGAGGTGATACCGGCTCAACTGGAAATATTGGTCAACCTGGTGCTACTGGTCCACAAGGAGCAACAGGCGAAGCAGGAACGAAAGGTCAGCAAGGTAATAGAGGTGATCCTGGTCCTAGAGGTGATCCAGGTCAAGCAGGGCAACAAGGAGCAAAAGGACCTCAGGGAGCTACAGGTGCACAAGGTCAGCCTGGACCTATAGGTCCATCAGGTCAATCGGGTCAGCCAGGAAGTCAAGGCATAACTGGTGACACTGGTTTAACTGGAGAAATGGGATTTACTGGTTCACCTGGAATGCTGGGAGACACGGGATCGTCGGGTGCGCCTGGATTACCCGGTATTGTTGGAGCTACTGGTCAGGCTGGTCTTCGAGGTCAAAATGGAGCTCAAGGCGCCACTGGTTCTCCTGGCAATCAAGGACAGCCTGGACCTGCAGGTGTACAAGTTGATTTTGACTGTCATTTGTCTATATATTTAATTCCACATTTCAATTTTTTACACTGATTCATTTTTACATTTAATTTATTTTAATTTCGCATTTGTTTTTTTTACAGATTTGATTTGTTCTTGTCAATAATTAAAAAATTTAACTTGGAAAGCATTGCTTTATTTCAAAAATATTTCCAGGTCCAATCGGTCAGCCAGGAGCGCCTGGAAACCAAGGACTTCAAGGATTGCCTGGAGCAGTAGGAGCAACAGGGATGCAAGGTCCTCAGGGCCCGCAAGGAAATGTTGGGCAGCGTGGTGTACCTGGTCCTAAAGGAAACCAGGGCGCCACTGGGTTGCCAGGACAAGCTGGCCTTCCCGGTCTCTCTGGTGCTCCGGGTGCTACCGGTGGGACAGGTGCTACAGGACTTAAAGGTGACATGGGACCTTCTGGTAATCTAGGTAGTCCTGGTCAAGCTGGACCAAGAGGTCAGCCGGGCCAACCAGGTTCGAAAGGACTTCCAGGAGATCAAGGATTTCAAGGTCAGCAAGGTCAACCCGGTGCACAAGGCTCCACTGGTTCTAAAGGAAATCAAGGTTCCAAAGGAGATATTGGGTTGCCTGGGCAGCCAGGACAAGCTGGATCGGCAGGTATCATTTATTCAAATATTATCATCATTTTTATTACTATTTATATAAAATGTCGCGTTATTTCATTTTTTTTAATTAATTTTTTAATTATATATCAATCATATATTCTGATGAAATTTTTCTGTTTATTAGTTATTTGACATTGTGTGTGTAATCGTTAGACTTTTTTCAACACTATGTTGTATTTCATTTGCATTTTGTTAACTTGATTGCACTTTAAGCTTGAGTGTATCATGGGTATCCTTTAACTTTATCTTTGATGTAACAGCCTGTTACATCGAGACATGGTGTGTAAGGTGTGTGTTAACTGCAAAAAAATATTGATGAAATTTCATAGTTTGATTCCTCCTTGCTATTTAATTTCATGGCATAATCGCAAACAAATTTTTGATGCTCTCAATATTCATTTAACGAAATATAAACATATTATAAACAATTTAACTTATCGAAATATTATATAATAAAAAAATTAAGCAGCATGATATTGAATGAAGTTGAAGACGCTTGGTGACTTGGTTCGAACGGGAAAGAGATTCCTCGCCTATCATATTCAATATTTGTAATGCGTAGTTCTCTTGCACACGTTGATACATCGGAAACAAGCTTTATAAGAGAGAATCACCTTCAATCATTTTAAAAATAACACCGTCGGTCATTTTACATTACGATTTTGTTCGCCGTTTAAATAACTAAAATTTTATTTTAATCTATTTTTTTAGGATCTCCTGGAGTTCAAGGCCTGCCAGGTCCCAATGGAAACCAAGGACAACCGGGTCAACAAGGGCAACCTGGGGCTATAGGGCCTTTAGGTCCAGCTGGAAATCCTGGGCCCAATGGAGACGTGGGCCTCCCTGGTGATCAAGGACCTAAAGGTTCACCTGGAGCAACGGGAGCACAGGGTATCAAAGGTGAAACTGGTTCTCCAGGACCTGCTGGTCCATCCGGCCCTGTTGGAAGCGTGGGTATACCAGGTCCCAAAGGATTTATTGGAGATCAGGGTTCTGCTGGTTCACAAGGTCAGCCTGGTCCAGCGGGGGCTCCAGGTTTGATGGGAGCAACTGGAGCAACAGGTGATGTGGGTTCTCCAGGTCCTTCTGGTTCACCTGGTCAAAGAGGTCCCACTGGTCCCGCTGGCCAAACCGGGGCTAAAGGAGATACAGGTTTTATGGGTTTGGGTGGACAGCAAGGCGATCGTGGACCTGATGGGGCCCAAGGGGATACTGGTGCTCAAGGTCCAGCGGGGCCTGCTGGAGATCCAGGTGTTCAGGGTGCCCAAGGTGCTACTGGACAGCCTGGTGCAGCCGGAATTCAAGGACCAAGAGGAGACATTGGTTTACCTGGACCTACTGGGCCATCGGGTCCTCAAGGAGCAACGGGACCAAAAGGTGCCACTGGTGACTCTGGTTCTCTAGGACCAACAGGACCGCTGGGTAATTTGTAATGTGGTTATTTTAAAAACTAAAAAGTTAAACCTCCAATTTAATATATATATATATATATATATATATATATATATATATATATTGCAGTAATAAACTTTTATCATGAACAATTTTAAACTTTCAGGTCCCCAGGGACAACCAGGATCACAAGGGAATAAAGGTGAAACTGGTATGACAGGTTCTCAAGGTCCACCTGGCCAACCAGGTTCGCCTGGTGATGTCGGTTCGACTGGACAACCGGGACCTGTCGGTGCTACCGGCGCTATTGGACCAAATGGAAGTCCTGGATCACCTGGTTTGCCGGGACCCATCGGAGAAAAAGGTTTGACAGGTCCTCAAGGTCCTGTAGGGCCTGTTGGTCCAGCTGGACCTCAGGGGGACATTGGTTTGCCTGGTCAAGTGGGTGCTTCTGGTCAGCCAGGTCCTGTCGGAAGTGCAGGCAGTCCTGGTGCAAATGGACAATCAGGTGTCATAGGAGCAGTTGGCATTACTGGCGCAACTGGTCAGCCAGGATCACCCGGACCTAACGGAGAAGTTGGTCTACAAGGGCAGCAAGGTCCTAAAGGAGAAACTGGATCCTCTGGTCAAACTGGTCAGGCAGGTGATATTGGACCTCAAGGTGCACCTGGTCCAAGCGGACCAATGGGAACCAAAGGGGACACAGGAATGCCAGGTCCTCAAGGACCTCAAGGACCTCAGGGACCTTCCGGTCAGCAAGGAGTAATTGGGCCATCAGGTTTGCATCATTAACAACTTAATTTTTTTTAAGATTCTATTAAGCTGGTACAAAAATCATATCGGCTCTACGTTACTTGATTTTTCGACACACAGTTTTTAAATTAGTTTAATTAAAAATATATATCATTGTGTTTTTATTCATTTTGTTATTATTCATTTATTGACAAGTTATTCATTCCTCTATCTAGTTACTATTAAATATTTCGTTAAACATTCCACTATGTTTGTTTTTCAGCAATATTTAAAAATGTTTTCAAAGTGCGATTTTCGGATTATTTCGCTTCATGTTTAAACTCGGACATAACGTGGCTGATGTAACTTATAATATCATAGGAAGATGTCAGTGTTTCTGATCGCACCATACAAAGCAATTATTGAATATCTATGATGAAGCCAGTTTATCGCATTTTAATTAGTGGACGGTTCGCGATCGACATTACCTTTGCACCAACCTTATAATAATTATTGTACCTTTATGTTTAAGTTCACACTTTATAGAGTTCGTTAACATTTTTATGAAATAAACGTGCGTTATGATTTGAAATATTTTCTTTTTCAACTTTGTTGTGATGGTTTTAAATTTAAAAATTTTGATTTTAACTTATTGATAACAAAATTATTTTTGTCATTTTAAGGCTCACCTGGACCTCAGGGACCACAAGGTCCTCGAGGCAACAACGGATCACCAGGACCAAACGGAGCAACAGGAGCTGTTGGTGCAACAGGTTCTACTGGAGAAATAGGACCAACTGGACCTCAAGGACAACAAGGTCTTCAGGGACTTCCAGGAGATGTGGGTGGTCCAGGGCCAGTTGGTCCAAGCGGAGAAGTTGGCTCTCCTGGTGCCCCAGGATCTCAAGGTGTTCCAGGACCATCTGGACCAAAAGGACCAAACGGTCAACAAGGGTCTCAAGGCTTACAGGGTCCACCTGGCGTAGTTGGTCCATCTGGTTTGCCTGGGCCTTCTGGTGAAATGGGTCCAGCTGGACAACAAGGTCAGCCTGGACCCATTGGACCTACTGGACCTGCAGGTTCAGTGGGACCTGTTGGACCATCTGGAAATGTTGGTCCACCTGGTGATACTGGTGATACTGGAATAGTTGGTGCTTCGGGCGATATTGGACTTCCCGGACCAATTGGTCCAGTCGGTGGAACTGGTGCAACTGGACAGCGTGGAAATGCCGGTCAGTCTGGTCTTTCTGGTCCCATCGGAGAAATGGGATCTCCTGGCGTGCAAGGTAATTTTTCTGTTGTTGACTATTTAAATTCGTTTTTATTCACATATTATTTTTATATTGTTATGTGTACAAATCTGTGTGCAAATATTCTTGTTTTCAAGCAAATTATAAATTTACGCTTTTTCTAGATGATATTGAACAATATATACTGATATGTTTATTTAGGTTCAAACTGTCATATATGCAGTTATAAAGAAATATCACCGCATTTTCGCATTGTTGAGTAAATTGAAAGACTTTGTTACAAACTCAACAATGCAGAAAATGCGGTGATATTTCTTAATAACTGATATGCTCATGTATATATATGCAAATTTATCACCTGTTATTAAGTTGTAACAAAGGAGGAGCTAGAAATGTAAACAAATTGAGGGGAGGCATGTTTTTTAACATCACCTATATTTTAAACATCCGTAATAAAAATACAATTAGAGATTTTTTTCCATTATTATCACAAAACATATACTGCTCTTTTTTAACGCGCTTGATGTCGTGATAAGCAAAATTAATTAAGATGTTAAATTCCTATTGTGATCCCATCCATGCTCAACTTTGCACTTTTAACTTTCAACATCATTGCAATCAACAAGTAAATTATAGTTTCAATGTGTTTAATTGATCAGGTGCCCCTGGAGCAACAGGCCTACCAGGACCTCAGGGCGACACTGGACCACAAGGCCCAGTTGGTCCAAATGGATTGTCAGGACCCAAAGGAGAACCAGGTCTACAGGGACCAGCTGGACAGAAAGGAGATCGAGGTATGCCTGGACCGCAGGGAGCTGCTGGTTCCACTGGTCCGATCGGTCCAACTGGAGACATTGGTCTTCCAGGACCAGACGGTTCACCAGGTCAACCAGGTTTGGCTGGAGTTGCAGGACCGCCTGGTCTTATTGGTGACATTGGAAACCCTGGACCTCCTGGGCAGTTTGGTCCACCTGGATTAAAAGGTGATGCTGGACCCAAAGGGCCGAAAGGCTCAAATGGTTTGTCAGGAGCACCTGGACCTCAAGGCTTGCAAGGGGATCCTGGCATACCTGGACCAATTGGACCGGCTGGACCCATGGGACCTGCGGGTCAAGCTGGACCACCAGGAACTGGATTTCAAGGACCACAAGGACCTCAAGGTCCTAAAGGAGAACCAGGACCAGTTGGACCTGCCGGTAAATTTTTGATTCAATTTAGTGTTTGATTCAAGAAAATATAAATTAAAACGTAATAATATTTTTTCCTATCGCCAGAAATAATGGAATAATTTTTGTTAAATATGAATAAGTTTTTTAATTGAAAATGTTCAAACATTTTTTTGCAGGCCCAATCGGTTCACAAGGACCGGCCGGACCTAAAGGTGATGTTGGACCCCAAGGTCCCACGGGACAGCCTGGGCCAATCGGACCCCCTGGTTTAACGGGTAATCCTGGGGCCACTGGAGCGTCAGGTCCTATTGGAGATGTCGGTTTATCTGGACCTGCTGGTCCAATAGGACCTCAAGGAAATACAGGTGATATTGGTCCCGCGGGTAATCAAGGTCCTCAAGGTCCACCAGGACCTCCTGGATCTACAGGACTAATTGGTCCCAAAGGTGATAGGGGAGATCCTGGTCCACAAGGTCCTAAAGGAGTTGCCGGAGCTATTGGTGCAACCGGTTTGCCTGGACCTAAAGGAGATGTTGGGCAACTTGGTCCACCAGGGTCAACTGGAGCCACTGGGCCAATTGGACCAAAAGGTGACACTGGGCCAATAGGACCGTCAGGTGATATTGGACCAGCAGGACCACAAGGACCGTTTGGAAACACTGGTCCGCAGGGGCCAATTGGACCACAAGGACCAATTGGACCACGAGGAGATAATGGGGATCCGGGAGATACTGGAAACATAGGACCTTTGGGTCCAGTAGGGCCTCTTGGACCAGTTGGACAACCAGGACCCGGTGGGCCACGTGGGGATACAGGATTAGCCGGACCAATTGGACCACCCGGGCAGCAAGGCCCCATTGGACCACAAGGATCAAGAGGTCCACCTGGACCAGATGGTGATATTGGACCTTTGGGACCTTTCGGATCTCCTGGTCCAAGAGGACCTCAAGGAGCAAGAGGTGACACTGGACTTCCAGGACCACAAGGACCGCTTGGGCCTTCAGGTCAAGTAGGACCAATTGGTGGACCTGGTCAGACTGGAGCTACAGGACCCGTGGGGCCTAAAGGACCTATTGGTCCTTTGGGACCTATTGGATCACCAGGTGACACGGGTTCATCAGGACCTAGTGGATTCCAAGGACCTGCAGGACCTATTGGACAGCCTGGACCTCTTGGTGCTCCAGGTCCAGCAGGATTGCCTGGACCATTGGGTCCTTACGGGCCAAGAGGTGATATAGGATATCCTGGAGCAACGGGCGCTCCTGGACCAGCGGGACCTTCAGGACCATCAGGAGATAGAGGACCACCAGGTGATCCCGGAGCCAGTGGATCTGTTGGACCAGTTGGTAATACTGGCCCGGCTGGATTTACTGGCTATGCAGGACAAATGGGTCTTCCAGGACCTCCCGGACCTGTTGGAAACACTGGATTTGTTGGATCAATCGGCCAGCAAGGTCAACAAGGCCAACAAGGTCCTTCTGGACCACCCGGACCACCTGGAGCTATTGGAAATCCTGGAGAACGTGGACCAAGTGGACCATCAGGACCGCCTGGTTAATTTGTTTTTTAAATTAATTTTGCTGTTGAATTTTTGAAGGCATACATATAGTTTTTTTTCTTAATTTCTTTTTATTCCCAACAAAGTCGAAGACAATTTCAAATTGAAACGTTTTTTTTATTGCTAGGTGACACTGGACCGATAGGACCCCAAGGAACAGCAGGACAACCTGGTTACACTGGTCAAACTGGAAGTACTGGGCAATCTGGACAACCGGGACCCACCGGACCAAAGGGACCAGCAGGATTCCAAGGAAGTATCGGAAATGTTGGACCTTACGGACAGCCCGGATCAACTGGTGCCACGGGAAACACTGGACAACCAGGACAGCAAGGACAGATGGGTTAGTTTTTCTTTTATCAGCTTTTAAATTTTTAATTGCGGAATTATGAACTATATGAATGTATGCTAATAAAAATAGAATTTAAGCTTTTCATTAACAAAATATAATACATAACATTATTGTAGCACTTCAATCGAAATATTTTCCCACCAATTCAGGTCAGCCAGGTGCAACTGGCTTCACAGGACCTCAGGGAAACACAGGCAGTCCTGGACCTCAGGGACCGCAAGGACCTTCGGGCAATAACGGACTGATGGGTCCTGCTGGGGCCACTGGGCCGAAAGGTGGGACAGGAAACAGGGGAGAGCCTGGATCGCAGGGCATCAACGGAGCAACTGGTGCAACTGGTGCCTCCGGACCTTCTGGTTTGTTTGTTTACATTTTATTTGGTTTTAATTTTACTTTGTTTTTTAATTTTTAGATGCTCTGTTAAGGATTGAGTCGTTCTAATTTATTTATTGCCATAAAGTCTACAGCGTTTATTTATTATTTGTTTGTTCGAGCTTGTTTTTTAATGAAAGCAACCTTGCACTACGACAAAACAGGCAGACAAGGAGACACGGGAGTTACGGGGCCGAGAGGTATGTACGGAGATACCGGAGCAACGGGAGCGACGGGAGGAACGGGATTCACTGGCCCACAAGGTCCGCCTGGTGTCGGTGCAGCTGCTCTCGTCGATGACAATCAGCAGTCAATCGATTCTCAGCTGACCGAACGTGAAAAAATTAATCAGGCGAAAACTAAGCTCTACATAATTTCTGGGGTGCTGATTCTCTGGGTGGCCATTGTTACTGTGTCCCTTGTTATCATGGTCTTCTTCGCTCTCAGGAGGTTGAAGAATCATTTCTTGAGCTTGGTTAGTTTTTGTTGTTGTTCTGTTGTTGTTGTTGTAAATGAGTGACTCCTCCAAACAATCAGAGATGATAAATCATGCAACGAACGATCGAACATGACAGGATGACAGCTCTTCAGAAGGTAGTGACAGTGTAGGCCCGCGTTCTTCAGTTTCCGAATCAGAATACAGAGAAAACATCAGCCTGGATGTTGATGACGAGGGTCCTGTGGTCACTGGAGAGGGCAGAGAGTTGAGGAAACGTCGTGAAAGTCATTCGCGTGGCCATGTTGACGACGACGATGATGATGAATTTGAGGTCTGTTTCATAATATTTGTTTTGTGCGAAAATTTTATTCCTTCTATAATTCGTTGCAGTGCTGTTAAGTGTTCATTTACAGTCTTTAAGCACTTGAATGACATTTAGATATTAACCCAGGTATTCAGGAGGTCTATTAAATATTTATTTAATTATTTAAATAGAAGTAATTAAACTGCATTTACTTTTGGCTAATTGTGTGTGTGCGTGTGTGTGTTGTAACAATAATAATTATACAACAACACACGTTTAGACGACATTTTCCCCGAGATCGGGGGTTGCCGTTTGGCTACCTATGATGAAACCGAAATACCCCTCGACGCCATTAACAAATTTAATTACTTTGCCAAAGAAGTTGCTTCGCTATTGACGATCCATGTGCATGAGATGTTAACGAACATCTTTTCAGATTTTTAGTGCTAATGTCTGTCGGATTAGGATGCGAATATTTATGAAACTTACTGCTGCTGATAGAAATGAAATACTTTGTAATGTTCTCTTCCTCTGTTCCATCCGTTAACAGAGCACTCAAATTCTTTTTTCAACCGTTCAAATCCTATCGAATGGAGGCTTAATTATTTTTAACAATTTTCGTGGGCAGTATCAAAATTGTATTAGCAATGTTTGCTATTTGAATAGTATTTTTAGAGGCTAAATTTTGACTAAGTTTTGCAAAGTATTTAATGTAAATACTCAACATTAGAGTATTTTAACGAAACGAACAGCTTGTTTGTCAATTGATGGATGCATCGCGTGCTAGCAACTTAGTTGAATTCTAAATTTAAAATTTATAAAAATTCAGGATGGCAGACTTGATTCAATACTGGACGAAACGGTAGTGGGCGGAATCGAACCCGGGCCATCGACATCCAGGTCTCTCGAGCATCAACCGCCTGACACTAAGCCAGAAGATTGGTTCAACTACAACAAGGTTAAAACTAAAGGCGTCCTTAAAAAAGGTCAAGGTTCAAAGTTCATGGGGCTATATTGATCGATTAATTATATACATATATCTTAATATATTATATTTCTAATGTTTTGGCTTTATTATTAATAATAATAATGTTATTAATATTTGCATATTTATTACATACATTTTTATTAATATTTAGATTTTTTGTGATCAAATTGATGTGATATACATTTTTAATGAAAGCCACTGTAACTATAGATAGATGTAATTCCAAATGACTTTTCTCTTCATTTAAATTTCATTGCAATTAAATAAGACAATTGTTAAATTTAAAAATAACAATTGTGAAATAGTATTATTATTTTATTATTATCAAATACTAAATATTAACAATTATGAATTTAAAAAAAATTTTCAATGGAATGTAGAATGTCTTTCATTTTTATCATGTACTCAAATCATTTTTCTCAAGTGCCTACATGGCCTGCTTCAACTAATTAGTAACCAAATATTTATTATCATTAATAAATTTAAAATTGTTTAATTTTAAAGATTTTACTTTACTCTACTTTATAGAAATTTATTTTGAACCCTGAAACTAATGAACATTAACTGTTATGTACTCTAATGAAGTTTCGTTCTGTTTTAATATTGTCGTAATATAACACATTCTAGCAATGCATTGAAGAAAATTTTTTTCCATTCAAATATTAGGAAGAAAAAAATTAGATCGACGATAAATGGCATTGAGCAGTTCAAGTAAAATGAGTGAAAAGATCATTCATTCATTCATTTATTGACTCGACCAATCATTCATTCATTCATTTATTTATTAGTGGCAGGCCGAATTGAAAAAGTTTTTAATCACCAATGCCAAATTTTGTCCAACAATCTCAGCCAGCTGCTACATAAAATAATTATTATTATAATTATTTAAGATATAATAATATTAAGATGATAATAAAATAAGTGAATTACTTGAGTGAATGAGTAAGTGAGTGGGTGGATGAGTTAATTCATGTATGATTGATTGATTATATGAATTATATGGGAATGAATGATTGAATCAATAAATGATTATGAATAAAGGAGTGACTGAATAGATGAATGAATGATGCATTGATTATTATAAATCACGTTCCTAACCTCTTCAGATGCATTGCATATTGAGTGTAGACCTTCAAAAAGTTTATTCAACTTAGTAATATTATAAGATCTTTGACAATAATGTTAATAATAACATTACTGATAGTAAAGACAAGCTGAATGGTAAAAATAATTGTATTATCTTACTAGGAAAATGACTTATCAAAAGTTGAGACTTTGTCGAGCCTAATTTAGGTATGCTTGTTAACATGGCAAGAACGTGTTCATCGACAGGCGTGACTTGAGAGTTATTTTTATTTAATTTCGATAGAATATTTGAGTTAGGATTCGTTTCTATGGAAATCTGGAGATTGTGGTGAGTACATAAATAGTTATAATTAATTTTAAATATTTTATATTATATCAAATTAGAAATTGTACATCCATTTATAATTGTCGCGATGGGGGCTGTTGTCATTTACTAATTTATTCACTCATTTGCCATGCACGATTAAAATGACACCCAAAATACTTACTAATTGAATTATGAAATCTGCACATTCTTGCCAATTGAGGTAAGGAACTAATTTGAGACCGAGATTTAGTGTGATGAATTTTTGAAGTTTATAAAAATGGGAATCAGTTTTTGTGGTTTTTTGGATTAGTGCAATTCCCTGGAATACTTCAGCCTGAAAAAATTAATTAGGGAAAGTGGTTATATTATATTTCAAATCAAAAAGCAATAACCAACGCGTCGTAATTTTACAAGATTTCTTTTAATATCAGCTAAGGTACCATCATCAATAATATCATTATCATCTATCACAACTATGGCTGTGTCGTTAGAGATGAAAATATCAACAAAATCAAATCTGTCTTCAAATATAATGTTGAATTTATCTGTGGATAATGATTAAAAAATTACTTTTTAACTAAGTTATGTTGAGAAAGTCGAATTTTAATTAAAAATGTCAGTTTAATAATTAAACTTTAATTATGTTTTTTTTTTGAATGATAAAATTGTCGAGAAAACTAAAACTAAACTAAACATCAAAATTTTATAAAAATTGGTCAACAATTCATTCAATAATTTTTAATTATATTAAATTTAAATAAAATAATAACCTTTCAAAATTTGAACTAGTCTCAAGTTTTTCCATTTCGTACGGCATAATATGTGGCCGCGAGGTACACTAACTTGCATATCTGATAATTATTAGTATATAAATTGTAAGAAAACTATTCGAGATATTTATCTCGGATTTGTATTTTTTTGGTTAATAATTGAAAGTTCAGGTTTCACAATACGATCAGCTGTTTTACATTCAAAAGTTGGAAAATCCCAATACGATGGGAATTAAAGTTTGCAGTTAAAAATTTTAAACTTAACAAGAGTAAAGTTATTATTAATTATTTTTTACTATTAAAAAATATCACAATTTACAACATTTATAAGTTTAAAATTAGTATGAAGCTAAAATATTCTTAACCAATCGTAAAAATTTTGCGAATTATTTGTCTATGCTTGTTCACAGCTTGCTCCTTAATACGTCGTAGTGTTGATGCGCCAGCAGTTCGTAGTTTCCTAGCTGAGGTTCGTGGCTGGTCGTTTTTATTTTTTTATACCTGAATATTTGCCAATTAATTGATTATTTGTAAATGTTTCGCATTGCAAATTAAACTTGCATCAACAACGTTATTTTATACTATCGTTAACAATCTCAAAATTGTATTTTAAGGTACGGATTACTAATTTCTAACTGAAGATATTGGATTCAATCATCAAGTTCAGTTTAAGATTCTAATCTTAGAGGTCAAACAAAGACAATCCGATGGCAGTTGATTAATTCAGTGAAGGCACATCCTACTCACCGAACCGGATTTATTTTCTAAGAAAAAATCTCATTTTCCCTGCCTAATTTGGTGTATTTAAAAAACGTCAGTAAGAACTTTGCCTACTAGCGTGAAACGTTTTTTGTTTTAGTTCGTATTTTTAAGCTATTAGTTTCAACTAACTTGCATTCTTATTTGGTATAGATTTGTTTCGTTTTTTTATTGAATGGGTTGTTTAATTAGTACGTTTGCGTCCGTTCATTACGTGCTTTGAAGGGTTTCCGAGACCAGTATCAAAGTCGTGTCACGTGATTAAAAATGGCGTATGTTTGGTCGCCATGACAGTTTTAGTGAAGTTCGATGGTTTTTATTTGGAAACTGTCTCGAGGAAGGTTACTAATAGGATTCTGAAACAACTTGCCGTGATTGCCCTAAGTTGATTTAGCGTGTTGCACATTTGCAAGTTGATGCGCACTTTGTTGAAATAATATGCCTCATTAATATTCAAAGACTGTGAATAGTTCAAGGTTTGCTGGCATAATTGATCACCTTAGCCTGCAACCTCATTTATGCAATTTTTCTGTTTAATTTCATTTAATAGTTTTTTTTCGTTTTAATTTTCGAGAAAATAGTTTCAAATTTTAATCATAATTTTATTACGTTTTTAAATTGTAAATTTACGAGATTACTCATTTATTTGGGTAATCTATGTTTTACAATCTGCATATTTTATAGAATTAACTTTGTTTTGTTTCAGTATAAAAATAAAGAAGTTGAGGAGAATTCTATGCAGTTGAAATGTCAACAAATGAAAGTGGTGATAATAAAGAATCATCGATTAGTATAAAAAAGATGGCCGGCGTTGATTTTCAAAGGTGGCAAAATTTTCCTGTGGCCAATCAAGTTCAGCTAATAGATAACAATAATTTAAACAGTTATAGAATAATTACGATTTCAAATAATTCCAATCCGCTAAATTTTTCAACTGACGGCTCGAATAATTTTTTCCTAAACGGCGAGTTGTTAATTAACGAGAGCGGATTTAAAATGAAGCCTGCGGGTTCAGGCGATAATTTCTGCGTTGATGACTTGATTGATAATTGCTTGGCGACGAACGTGAGAGGCGAAACGAACGCGAATTCGTTTGAAAATAATTCCAGTGTCTCTTCAAGCACTGTCTGTGCTGATTCTGCTGCCAAAGTTAAAACCATTCCAATCACAGATCTGACGAGCACTAATGGCGTGATTGACAGTGAAATGATGACCACTGTTGGAATTCTACCCACCATTGATAATACTAAAATTTCCACTGCTGCTAAAACTATTACAATCCAACCACAAATAAAAACAGAAAATCCTGATTGTAGCAGTACTGAGGACAGGACTACTACCATCATCCCCGACAAGACAGACACTAAAATTAAAATAGATGTCGATACAAATTTTGACAATAAATCAGCCTCACCAAGTTATTCAAAATCTTTGAGTTCAGATGATAACCAGAGTTCATTGAAAGAAGAAAAGAATGTGTTGGGATTTGAATTTTCATCAGATCCGTATCAGTTTTTAGAGAATTTGTCATCTCTACTTGATTCTAAAGGGGGTTTGAAGGAATATAGTGATTCATTTGTTCAGTTAGTAATCAATTGGATTGTCATTTTTGTAACTAATTTTATTAATAATTAAACAATTAATAATACTTTAATTATAGTTTGATTGGTAAAGAAAATGAATATGTGTCATTTATAACAATTATAAAATTGTTTTAGACTTTCAATCTGTGTTGATGTTTTATAAAAAAAATTTTTATTAAAAATCTTAGGATTCTGAAGTTGTGCTCAACCATGCCTTGCCAATGCATACTCATCAATGTCATCAAGTCAACTGAGAGTTCTATCATCAAAAAGTAAGCTAACATTTTACACAATTATTTTATTACTACTGAGAAGAATTTTACATTCTAATTAATTTTTAAAAATTTTTGTATGTTCTTTTTGTCAACTACTCCCTGCTATGGTTTGTCACGTTCTTCAAAATAAAACAAACTAAGACCATATGAACAAAATTCTATAAGACAAATAAATAAAAAATAAAGCTAGATCTGAAATCAATTTTTGACACAACATATTAATGAAAAACCAATGAATTATCTCCTAACACAAACCAACCCGCAGATTGCTACAGAGAGGTGCCTGGCAGCAGTTGCACACATGGCTGCGAGATGCATGCACGCAGATCAACAAACCACTGATGCTGGAGTTGCTACAGCTTTTCAAATTGTTACCGGTGAACACTAAATTGCTCCGCAGTAATAACTGCGCTAAGGATATCAAACAGCTGATTAAGAATTCCGATGAGAGTTAGTTTAATTTTTAAATTTGTGGTTTTTATTGTTTTGTATTGTTTGGTTTCTATGTGTTTGTGTTGTACTCATCATACATTGATTGTACAAATTTTATAAAACATTAGATGCATTCATACATATGTGTATATATATGTTGGTAATATATATATATATATATATATGTTGGTAATATATATATATATATATATATGAATATATATATATATATGCAACTCGAAAAGGAATACAAATACTAAGCAGCTTACATTTTTATATATACATATACCAATATTCATGCGTACACACAAAATCCTAAAAATTGTAACAAATTAAAAAACAGGAGTGACCAGACTGGCCCGAGTTGTTGTCGATGAGTGGATGAAAGTGGTGAAGGGTCCTAGTGCGGAATCGACATCATCATCTTCTGGGGGTTAGTTTTAATTTCAATTTTTCATTATATATTATCCTTAAAGATGTTTTAAAATTAGATTGCTGTAACCAAAATGATTCATTTCATTGATCTTATTAGTTGCTCTTATATTAGTACCATCTTTGTTATCTTTGTAAGTATCCTCGAAACCGTTTTTAATATTAGTCTGTTTTTGATTGTAATGGTTAGTGATGAAATTGATGACAAACCCTACAGATAAACTAAAGAAGAAGCTGATAGCGCTCACGACTCCATCGTCGTCTGACTCAACTAATGATGACAGATCCAAAACCTCCGACAACAATATCACTGCTGAGAAAAAATCAAACATTCTAGATAGAAATAAGATCAATAATAGCACTGTTAGTAAGGCACAAAATTTGAGTAAAAATGCTTCTAGCAGTAGCAATGGTAGTGGCGCGAGTAGCAGCAGTAAGGCTTCCTGTGATTCTCTAGGCAAAAAAGAAAGGCCAAAGACAGTGAAAGTGAAACCTCAAAATTTCCGAATGACAGGTAATAATTGTCGGATTATAAGTAGAAGGGTGGTTATAATATTAGATATAATGAGGTTTATTATGATGGTGGTGAGGAGGAGGAGGAAGATGATGATGATGAGTGTGATATCATAGTCATCGTATGATACTGTCTCATCTCTATCTTTGCTCATAGTCCTGCATTGTTGTGATATTTTTTTCATTTATATCTGTGATATTTATGTATTACCCACCTGTTTCTTTATATTTTTCTAGTTTCATTCGTCTACATCATTTCAACTTTCTCAACAGGTTATATAGTTTATCTTAGTATTTATATATTTCTTCTTCATTAATGTTTGCCGTTAGGCCATTCAATTTTTTTGTCACCGTGAAAACTTGGAACACGCACACACACGCGCATTTGAACGAATCTTGCTGGATTGAAGCTGCGGGGCGTACAAAAGTGTACGCTTACGTGTGTGTGTGTGTGTATACTGTATACACGTATCACAGGTAGGTACGTAAGCGTATTAATACATATTTTCGTGGGCTTGTTTCGAGATCTGTGAATGTGCAGACCGGTGGCATGTCAGCTGTCACTCGGATGTATAATTATCATTTTGTGAAATATTTGTGTCGAACTTGAATGCAGTCTTGTTGAACGTAAAGTACAAAAAGTACGAATCAAAAGTATAAATACTGATCAGAAATAGAAAAATATATCTGTTTTTGAGTCCGGTTAACTTTAAAAACCTATAAGAATACTTTTTTAATTAAACTAAATAACTCTTTGCAAGCTGCTTTGAGCTTGCCTGTTTTATTGCTGATTCGTAACGTAGGTAAGTTTTTAGGAGTGTTAGCTCAATATAAATTTTATGTCATTAGTGACAAATCAATTATGAATTACAGATATGACATAGTTAGTGCGGTTGTAAGGCGTGTTTGTACAATGAGTACTTGTATCCGCGTATGATATAGTTGCGTTTGAATGTGTGTGTGTTTGTGTTCATAGTCATGTTTGATTTATTTATATAGATACATATCTCTGAGTATGTATGTTTGTATTTATATGATTTAAGTTTTCAATTAGTCATGTCACTTTTATTTTTATACTTATTGTTTGCATTCTTCATTCCTGTACTGTAATGATATGTATATATATATTTTATTTTATGTATATTCGCATTTGCTGTCTACTGTTTTCCTCTTTGCTTGAAGAGATTGAAATAAAAAATTCAATCACAAAGTGTTGGTGAAGTTGTTTTATCTCTGACACAATATTTTCAATTAAAATAATTCTACAAATGAATAATAAACAACTTTCAAAAAATCAAAAACCCAGGTCTTGAAGATTTAAAAGGGAGTAATGCTAACGGCAGTAACAACAATTCAACTGCAAAATCTGTTAAGAATGGTAGCAACAGTAGCAGTAGTAGTAGTAGCCCAGCCAATAAGTGTACAGCCAGTGCCGTTAGGAGTTCCTCTAAAGATGCCAACTCAAACAAGAGTAAAGTTGTTCAAGCTCCCAAGCCTATATGTAAGTTTTAAAATTGTTTATTTATACTCCGGTTTCATTGTTGTTGTATCCAGCTTGTATCTTGTCTGCTGATGTCATTGATGTTTGCATTCATGTATATGATATCACATTTGATAGATCAATTAATTGTTTACAATATTTTCATCTAGCTCCTGAAATATTCGAGAAATCTCTCTTCATGGACGCCTTGCAAGCCTCATCCACACCTGCGCAGCAGAAGAGGAAGAGGAGGTTAACACCAGATGCAACAAAATCATCATCAACAACAACAACATCTATCTCGTCATCATCATTATCAGCAATAACGACTGCATCTAATACCGCAACAGCCACAGCACCATCCTCATCTTTGTATAGTTTAACGTCGTCGACCACCACCACCGTGACAGCAGCGTTACAAAATGACGACTTGACGCCTCAGGCCAAACGGCCTCGCCTTTCTCCAGATGTAACAACGGAACAACGTCAACAATCATCTTCATCATCCCCACCACCCCACACGTCGACCACTACTTCTACTTCTGCATCTTCATCGTCTTCCTCGTCTTCACTGGGAACCAAGTTAAAAAAATCCGTAACATGGGCATCGGAGACGGACCTCTGCAGCTTTCACTACTTCGAGTTCGATGCCGACGAGCGATGCAACGTTAACAATTTGAAAAAATCTTTATTATCGCCTGCATCCTCTTCGTCTTCTTCGGTTTCCAACTCTGGTTTCCAAGACCACTGGAAACACGAGTTAGAAATGGAGAGAGAGCTGCTGTTTGGGAAAAACCACCATTCTAAAAATAAACCTTCTGAGATGATTGATTGGTTCTGCCCACCCCTCATTGAATTCCTGGAACCTTCCAGCATGGTGCCCGGTAGCGAGAGTGAGGAAAAGTTGACTCAGGCCAGGAGGGAGACCTTAGTGCTGCAGATCATCTACTTCAATAGGGATAGGTCGGTCTTCATTCATTCTAACAAGCTGCTTACATTTTTTTACAGTTTCAATAATTCGCATGACGATTTGTTATCTTCATTATTTAAATGTTTCTTGATTATCTGCTAATGATTGCTGCTCCTTACATACTCATTGATTAATTTCAAATTTTCAACCTATAGGATTCCAGATTCACCTTCCGAGCCAGATGAGCCTCAGTTGCCCGGTGACCAATCACAATCAGCTTGTAAAATAATTCCATTGGATGATATCGGTGAGGGAGAGGAGCCAATGGATGAATCCGAACCACAGCCAGCTGATACTAAACAACCACAAGATCCAACCAATAAACTTATTCTTCCTGAAGCTATCACAAATTTATTGGATAGTTACATGAACAGCACTAACAACATGAACTGCCAATCAAATTCGCCAGTTTTAAATGTCAACAATCCTGTTAGTCATTACGATCCAAATGTTATGAACCAATCAAATCACTACAATCAGTATGCCGGCCAATCAAATCTTATAAATAATATGCCTGCTTATCCAATGGGATTCAACATGAATGGCAATGTTCCAAATATGGAGAGGAAATCTTATGACCCAGGCTTCATGTACAACCACGAGGCTAACTCATCGCATTGGCCCAGGTTCGATTGCAATCCTCCTAATTTCCCTAATCAACGACCGCCACCTCATCAACAGTTCGATGATTCAAGAAGAAGGTTTCAAAATAGAGAAGATGGAAGGGGAAGAGGAGGGAATAAAAGTAAATTTAAATTTTGAAAATTTTTGAAAATTTGTCTTTGATCATTCATTTTCACATTATTCAAAAATGTACTTTGTTGTTTTTTTAATATACCTGTGGTTTGAAATAATCGTAATGATCATTTCATATTTAATTATTTAAATACGTTATCAATTAATTAATTGACTTACTAATTTGCCTATTCATTTTTTTCAAATTCAGATTTTGGTAACAACAACAGGGTTGTATGTCAATTTTATCTATCTGGAAACTGTAGGTTTGGAATCAAGTGTAAAAAGCAACACACTCAACCACAATGAGGTGATGATTACGGCGATGAAACGAAGTTGACAAGGAAGATAAGGAAGAAGATAAGATTCGGGCACCCTATCGCATAACTCAGCCATAAGGTGCCTGGATTGTGATTCATCCATTTGCTTGATTGATTGATTGATATTTTCGTTGTGATGATAAAATGAGTTGTTTTGTCGCTGAACTGTATATATTTTTATTGTTTTTTGGATGCATATAGCTGAACTTATATTACATAGTAGTGATGGTGTCTTCATGTACGCATATATAAAATTGTAATAAATAAAATTAATAAATAAATATACTCATATATATTTATATATATATATACGTCCTACCTCGGGGGAACTGGGTTTCTAGACGCTAAACAAGGATCGATTGATTGATTGATATATTTATATATGTCTGTGTGTAGTAGGTTCCTATAAATTCAATCAATCAATCATCATTTAGCGTCCAGAGACCAAGCTCTCCCGAGGTAGAACGTTAAATTGTTACATGAATTCTAAATTGTTATTATTCTTGTGTTGAAATTTTTTTCAAATTATAAAATAATAAAAGCAGGAGAGTAACAAGTTTAGATAATAAACTGACTATGGTAATTATTATTAATTTAAAAATTGCATCGAGTTGACTCATTGTTTCACATTGAACTGTGCAGATTGCATATGTACTGTTATGTATATATACTATGTGTGTATATATGTTTCAACTTATGATACAAGTGTTCAATCGGATGTGCATTCACCTTTTTGTGTATGATATGTTTGTTTTTGTACACATCCTTGTATAAAAGTGTGTTTTAATGTATATTTCTTGTATCTATACATATATATATATAGATGTATATATTATATATGTTCAGTATATATGTATGTATATACAATTTGTTTTTGTTAAGTTACTAATTGTTAATGTACTACATTGTGGAATATCCGTGTGTGTGTGTGAGAGGGAGAGATTGTTATAATACCTTGTGAAGTTTTTTTTGTATCAAGTACATACAAACGAAGATACAATTTTTGTATAAATATTGTTGAAGATTTTTGTATAATCTGTGTTTATCAAATGTAATGGAACTGCATAGTTTAATGCACGAATCTAAAATTAACATTACATTGTTGATTAATGTACACATCTCTTCGTAATAATATAGTTGTCATAAATATGCTGTAACGGTAAATTTTTTGTAAGTAGTGGATGTGTGTGTGTGCGAGTGTATTTGTGTGTGTGCTCGGGTTTACTTTTCATAATTCTAAAGTGAAAAATTTGAATTTGAAATTTTGAGCGATATAGGTGATATTAAAATCAATTCCGTAATCATTTTCGTCCTCATCAAATAACTAGATATGTAACTGGCATCTAGATCTGAATCTAGTTTAAGGTTAGATATTTTTAAGCGCTTCAGAATGGAATGCACATTTAAAAAGTTTTCAGCTTTCCATACTTGTTTTTAATTTACTTTGTTCGCACTAACTTCAAAACTGGTTTTTTTCCTATGGTCTCATTCTTTAAATTGTGGCGTGACTCGTCGTTTAAATTTACAAAAAAGTATCGTTAGACTTGTCAGGATTTCGCTCAAATGTTAAAAGATGAGGTCCAGGTAATTTTAATTTTTGTTTAATTTTTAAAAATTTTATCCGTAATCTTGTTTTTCCTCATTTATAATTTATTTCATATTCTCGTCGGCGGATAATACGTGACGTGAGTCTGGTCTAACTGATACTACAGTGAAACTCACAAATGATTTGTAATTTTATTTTTTTATTTTACTATTTATTTATTTATATAAAATTAATTATTTTTGAATCTAATACTGCTGGCCTACTGCCTAATGGTACTAATATAAAATATATATGTTTGTATGTCTTATAATTTATATTTTATATCAGATATCTGATTATTAAATATTTTTTTATGTGTTATGTTCAACATTTAAAGGACTAGTCATTTTATTTCATTTTAATTGAAACAGCAGTTTTGGGATTTGGATGAAGCTGTTTTGATATTCAGAGACATCAAGGCTGGTAATGTATTTAATAATTAGCCAACGAAGCAACTGAAGATGCCTATGAGGGTCAGAATAAAATGCTCATCAACCATATTCTTGAAAGTTGTTTGTCACCATTGAAAAGCAATGATGCAGCCATTCTGAATAAATTACAGTTTAATAAAATTTTATTACTACTTTTTTTTTAGTAATATTTTGTTTGTAAAAATTTTACAGAAAATTTTAAATTTTCAGAACTTGAATGTTACATCGACTTTGAAGCTGATGAGCTGACCTTCTAAACAGCAGGGGCCGGAATGTGTGGATGCCACAATTTTATGTTGGTTCTTGTTGGTTCTATCTTGGATCAGGCTGTTAAGAATTGTGTGCGCTATATAAAAGTATTTTTTGAAAGTTTCAACTGGTAACTTTTCGTCTATCACTTTCTTCATAATCTTCTTCACCATCTTTATCACCTTTTTTATCATCATTTTTTTTTTCATCAGCACTTCTTTCTCTCTCTAATAAATAAAATAATAATGATTCTTAATTATTATTAATAATTTAATAATGATTCTCCATCTTTCTTTTCATTGGCATCTATCCATTCTGTTCTTGTGAAATTGAACTTGCATCACCACAATTTATTGCTATTTATATTATGAGTGTATTTACTAATTATGTTTTATTTTTATATTGATGGTTAGTTATACAAATCATTCATGATTTCTAATTAATTTATACTTCTATTTAATGATATATTGTTATCTAATGTATTACTTTATATAATATAAATTGTGAAGGAGAAGCTTGCTGATCTACCTAAACTGTTTCCAATTTGGAATGAAGGCATTCTGGAAGGTAGTCTGGTATGCCTACATGGGGAATCGTCATTGGCATCAACCATCAATCACTGGCAGGCATCCTGGTAAAAGTTTGTTGTTTGTATGTGTGGTTCAAACCAAATTTTGTCTAAATTATGCATTATCTTCTTTATCACCATCATTATCTTTGTCGTCTTTCTCTTTTCTTTATCACCATCATCATCTTTGTCATATTGTTTGTCACTATCAGCTTGTTCATCATTACCATCTTCTCCATCTGTTCCATCATCCTCATGTTTTGTAATCTTCATTTTTTTCATCATTTTCATCTTTTACATCATTATCGTCATCGTCTTTTTTAATTTTTTTTAAAGTTTACTCATCTGTACATTTTGATGTAATTCATCAAAAAATTATTTTTGGCTTGAGAATTATTGTATGATGTATTATATGTTTGAGTTTGTATCATAGTCAAATAAATAGCAAATGATGTACAAATTCACTGTTTACACTATGGTAACAATATTATTTACAATAATAATTAAGTAATTGAATAATTATAACATCTTATTAAAATATCTTTTACAGGAAAATTTTTACTGAGATTTAAATGGAAACTGATAGCTGAAAACTTTGATTCTGTGGAAAGTTTCATTTCAAAGTTCATGGAAAGGAAAAAGTTAGTAACCTGACCCTACTGCTGCTGCTGCTGCTACCATGGTGTCACTAACGTTGCAGGGTGATTGATGATGAAAAAAAATCTGTTGCCTCCTTTTAAAATCTTTTCCTAAATGCGTAATTTGTTATTATTTATCATAATTTGTGTTAGATTATAACTTTATTGTGTTTTTTTATTGTTAAAATTTACATTTTACAGGAATTTTATAGGTGTAATGACTCAAATACGTTTACAAAGTTTCAAATGAAAATTAATGATTTTTATTGCTGTTGTCGGTAAATTAGCATATTCTTATATGTTTAATTTTGCTTCATTTCATAACTGTCATTGTTAAATAATTTAAAAAATACATTAAAATTTTCCGTGTTCATAGTTAAATTTGTACGGTTTCTCGCTAAATTTATTTTTAATTTTGATCTAAATCAATCCTTTAATTTAAATCCATTTTTTCATTTAGTTTAAATCCATTTTTAAGTTTAGTTTAAATTCATTTTTAAATTTAAGTTAAATCTATTTTTAAATTAATTCTAAAGTAGCGAATGAAAAAAATTTATCCGTGAGGGTCCAATTTCGTCGTTTTAGACACCTACCGAACGAAGTATTAGCCTATTCTATATATACATATATGTGTATATATATATATATATACATGAGTATATATACATATAAGCACGTATTTTTATAAATATATACATATACAGAGGTACATGTTCATATAACATATATATATACATTCATATACTTAAATATATATAACATATACAGGCGTACACGAGTGTATGCTGACGTGTGTGAAATATTTTTAATAATAAATTTATTATTATTTCTTTTTCCTATTATTATTCTTATTATGCTAAAATTTTCGTGAAATTTTGGCAAAAGTTTGTTGTGCGGAATAACAAAAAATTTTCTATACATTATTATTATTCATTATTTTTATGATTATTCATATTGTTCGAAAATTTTCAAAATTTCGTTATGCAGAATAATAAGTTGTTCGGAATAATAATAAAAAAGCATGTTAATCATAGTAATAACAAATTTCGTATTTTGACCGTAATGATAAATTTAATTAGTAAAATAATTTTTACGCGATTTTACGACTTTTATTACGTCTTTTACTCAATAATTAGTTGGAATATTTATTTTATATTTCATATAAAATGACAAAAATAAGCATTTTTTCTCGTTTTTTTAACGATTTAAATTAACGAAAATTACAACTTTTACAAATTTTTAACGCCATTTTATAAGGAAATAACACATTTTCAAGTATTTTATTTACTTTTGTTACGAAATTTAAAACATCAAAAAATGATAAGTAACTAAATAAAACATCAAAAAGTGATTAAAAGCATCAAAAAGTGACTAATTAACCAACTAAAACACCAAAAAGTGATTAATTAACCAATAAAAGCATCAAAAAGTGAGTAGATGAGTGTTTCAACCATGAGAGCCATGTATAACGTCAATAAAATTAACACAACCATTTGCATATAAAAACACACAAATATAACATGCATGTATATATATAAAATTCATAACTCACAAGCAGATGATGGGAGATATTGACAGAATAGCAAAAATAAGAAG